TGAAAAATATAGCATCGGTATGTCGAATAATATCACAGAGGATGTAGAGTAAGTTTGCAGAGTGTGAACAATACACAGACAAAATGACTAGAGTTAAATAACATACAATATAAACATGTGATTTCAAAATGCAATAAATGAGAATACAGTAATTATGACTGGTTGATAATATTGCACATATTTAATATCACAAACGTTCCAGGTTAAATAAACGTTTTGAGAACATTTTGTAAAGAGTAGCAGCAAGGCAGCTTTGAATGTTCTTTGCATGTAGTAATGTGATCATAATTAAGGTTGGATTGGCACTTGAAGTATTTAAATAAGGTACTTTAACTTTGGCTTCCTGATACAACATGTCTCTTAATTCTGTATAATGTGAACATTTAACAAGAAAATGTAATTCATCTTCAACTTCATTTGAGTCACACAGTTTACACTTCCTTTCCAATAAAGGAGTGTTATTATACCTTTGTGTCTCAACATTAAGTTGAAGGGACCCAGTTCTAAAGCTAGCTAGAATTTTCCTATGATGTCTTGGCATGTAAATGTTATTATAATGTTCAGTTACTACTCCTTACTTGAACTGTCTATATGTCCTCAGTTTATTACCATTGACTAGGTTACAGTATGTTGATCATTCCAAATATTTGTAAGAAATGGATCAGTTTGTTGAAAATAATCACTAATTTTTTTCATGAAGGGTTTACATGGGGTTTGTGTCCCTAAATGTTGTTCAAGACCTGCTAGTTGTATTATGTGCTGTGTTCTGGAATCCCAGCTTGAGCGTCTTTTTAGAGACCATTTGTAGATCTTATGGTTCAATCTGTTGGGGTTCATGTTTCTGAGTCTAAATAGGTGGCGTACACATTCAATTTTCTGTTTATCCTTTGCTTGTGTCCAGCCTAAGTCCCCTCTTACAGCTTCATTGCTGGTCTTTGCTCCAACACCCAGGAAAAATTTTCCAGCTCTATTTTGCACTTTGTTAATACAGCTATGTTCTGACAGCCCAACAATTGAGCATCCATAGTTAATAATAGGCTGAACCATGGTGTCATACAATTTGTTATACACTGAGAGGTCCATGCCACCTAACTGTTTATACTTAGAGATTATAACTCCAAGGGCACGATTTGCTGACTTGGCTATTTCTTTTGCAGTTTTATTGTAATTGATATGTTCATTAGTATAATAGTCATATTTCAATAGACATTGAGTAGGGATTAGTTATGTTTGCAATTGTGTTGACCTACTTCTTTTTAGATAGAGGAAGGTCATGATAAACTCTTGCTTTGTTCATATAACGCTTGGTTCTTACCTAGAAAGTTATATGTATTGAGGGAATAATGTACTTCTAAGGTACTTCTTGAGATATATAAAAATCTAGGTAAGGACCAAGCGTTGTGCAAAAATGGAACTTTTCTGCAATTTTCAGCATGAAATAAAATGATGTCAGCCATTTTGAAAATCCTTAGAATCTGATAGTTGTGTTTTATATATTTGAGTATATTTTCTTTATTCATATGATCTTTTTATGAACTAAAATGTATGCTTGCACTGGAGCATGACCTCTTGAGAAGCATATATCTTTACCATGGCTCTTAGCAACATAATAACATGCAATTCCTTTCAATATATTCAAATGAGATGATTGTTGTACAATCATTTTATCTTGATGTTTTGTGTATGAATAATTTTTTATATTATCACAGTTCACTGGCTGATCATACCAATCTGTTCATATTTAGAAATCCAGCTCAACTTTATTGTACAGAAGAAATATACTGTAAGTCACAATCAGTAGGCGGAAAAAACGACATTTGCTAATAAAATGCCCAAAGCAAAGGGAACTGCATGAGTGAACTGCAATATCCCAGTACAGTCAGTTGGAGACAAGAGGGTTACATCTAAATCATAGTAGACTGTCTTGAGATCAAGCCAACCAATTTAAACGATGCACAGATGACCATCTTCAAGTAGATGATTTGTGTAAAAGTCCAGTAATCGGTTTGTGTCCTCTAAATCTCATTATACATGGGTGGAGTATAACCCAGATCCAGATGTATGTAATAGTATTGATGCAATCACTGGATGATCTTGTACATGCCTTGTTGGGAGTAGGGTTGTAGGCACAAGAGGTATAAAAGCAAAAAGAAATTTACGAAGTTTGACATTTTAAAATCAAAAGATATGTATGAAATGTTGTCATCTGAAGAAGATGATGATCGCTCAGAGAATCTCTTATTATAATGAACAAACACATGAATGTACTTTTTTATTATTAAAATAATTTATTATAGTGTCACTGGTTTACATTTGGTACAAATAAATACATATTCTAAAAACCACCAGCCGATGTCGGCTTATGAGACACTGGACTTTAAAGATCAATAATAACAGTGTAGAATGTCATAGAATGTCATAGAATGTCATAGAATGTCATAGAATGTCATAGATATGACATTCAACAATAAAACTACAATGCATCTACAAGTACGTTAATGCATAGATTGATAAATATTAATAATTCCATCTATAAATGATGATAAATGATTTACATCTTGTGAGATAATGACTAGATTCTTGACTACAAAATGGTGTGGAGGTTAGGCCCTCACTGCAATAAATACGGTACATAGGAATAATATGGCAAATTATTATACTGCAGTCAACCGTTCCAGGTCAAATTGCCTTTTCATGAACATTTTGTATAACAGAGCAGCCCACTGTCTCTGAATTGATCTTGAATAGGCTTATAAATAAAAGTAACTCATTGTCGGTGTTTGTTCTTATATGTGGTGTTAAAATATCAGTTACAGTTCTATAAAAATGTGTTCTCAAGTTGGAATATGTTTACATTGGACAGCAAAATGAATTTCATCTTCAACAAAGTTACCATCGCATAATTTACATGTACGATCATTTAGTGCTGTATTTGACCAACGACCTGTCTCAATGTGAAGTGGGAGGCTACCTGTTCTCAGTCTAGCAAGAATGGTTCTGTGATGCCTTGGAATGTATTCAGACACATATGGTTCATTAACTACTCCATATTTAAACAATCTGTATGTTCGAAGCTTATTGCCATTCTGTAAATTATTTGTATCATCCCAAATGTTTTTAAGAAGGGGTCTTTTGCATTGAAACTGTCCTGTAAACGTTTTACTGTTGATTTTATATGCAAGAAAATATTATTATCAATAAAAATGCCATTTTTAGTCAGCATAGCTTTAGTGTGATAGTCCCAACTTCTTTTGTTTTTTAATGACCATCTATGTACCTTATGATTCAATCTATTATTGTCCATGTTATGTAACCTCAGGTATTGTCGAGCGCATTCCACTCTTTGTTTATCAATTAGGGGACTCCATCCAAGGTCCCCACAGACTGCTTCATTACTGGTTTTAGGGCTAACTGTACTCATCAACAGTTATGTTGTGGCCATTTTGGATTTTTTTTCATAAAATCTTCTCTATGAACACTTGTCTACACATTTTCAGTTGAACTGTTTGACAGATCAATTTCAAATTTTTAGGGATGTTTCTTAGTATGAAAATCTAGGACTGATTAGTTTTTCTGCATTCTGGGAAAAAATTAAGGTGCCCATTTTGAATTTCCTGTCCTAAAATAGTGTTTGTGAAGTCTACTCATTTTCAGGATAATCATTTGATGGATTGATTTCAAATTTTCAGGGATGATTTTAAGTATGAAAAGTAGTGATTAGTTTTTCGGCATTCTTGGTAAATGTAAAGGCAGCCATTTTGGATTTTCTGTCTTAAAATCTTGTCTGTTAAGTTTTGTTTACTCATTTTCAGGATTATCATTTGACAGATCTATTTCAAATTTTCAGTGATGATGTTTAGTATTAAAATCTAGAACTTATTAGTTTTTTGGCATTCTTGGGAAATGTAAAGGCAGTCATTTTTGATTTTCCGTCCTAAAATCTTGTCTGTAACGTCTTGTGTACTCATTTTCAGGATAACCATTTGTCTTATCGATTTAAAATTTTCAGGGATGATTCTTAGAAAGAAAATCTAAAATTGAATAGTTTTTCGGCAAATTAGATAGATGTTAAGGCAGCCTTTTTTGGATGTTCCGTCCTAAAATCTTCTCTGTAAAGTCTAGTCTACATGTTTCCTGGTAAACAAGTTGACAGGTAGATTTCAAATCTTCAGAAATGATTCTTGATATGAAAATCTCAAACTACTTAGTTTTTGGGCAGTCTGGGTAAATTTTAAATCGGCCACATTGGTTTTTAGTCTTAAAATCATGACTACAACTCATTAGTGTTTGGCATTCAGCTTTGCTCAAGAAGACATTTTCAAGATGGCTGCTAAATTTCAAAATGGCCAGCATTTTTTCCTAAAAACTTAATCTTTGATACTCAAGTACCAGTAGACAGACTTTGTTCAAATTTTATATGCTGATGCCAAGGGACACAGCAGCTCTGCTGGATAAGAAATTTTCAAGATGGCAGCTGAATTTCAAAATGGCCACCATTTATTATAAAAGAGTGTAATCTTTGATAACTCAAATACCAGTTGACGGATTTGGTTGAAATACATTTATCATATGCTGATGCCTAGAGAGAAAGGAGCTCTGCTAAAGGAGACATTTTCAAGAAGGCCCTTAATTTCGAAATGGCCACCATTTTTTGTTGAAAATCCTAATCTTTGATGATCAAAAACCAGTAGACTGAGTTGGTTCAAATTTTGTACACTGATGCCTAGAGATAATGAACTCTCCTCAAGATAGCAGCTGAAATGGCCACCATTTTTCATAAAAAAACATAATCTTCAATAAATCAAATACCAGTGGACTGATTTGGTTCTAATTTCATATGCTTAAACCTAGGGACAAGGGAGCTCTGTTCACGAAGAGATTTTCAAGATGGCCACCATTTTTCAAAACATGTTTTGTTCGGTGGAATTTTCTACTCAGTGAAGTTGCTGTTTTTTCTAGTTTGATAAAATAAAACATAAATACCTGCATTTTTACTGTAGGGCTATAAACCAACCATATTCTACCCTAAGAGACCTAACAAGCCACTGTTTGTAAACCTTGTGAACCAATGTGAGAAATTTGACATCCCGTTTCTCTCCTACATCCCTGCAGAGACGAGCCTTCTTAAAGATCACTACAATTTCATCATCGATGCCTTGTTTGGCTTCAGCTTCAAGGGTCCAGTAAGACCAGAGTTTGCAGAGATTCTAGAAAGACTTCAGCAACTGGAGACACCTATATGTAGCATTGATGTACCATCAGGTATGAGATACCTATATGTAGCATAGGTTTACCATCAAGTACACCAATATTTATCATAAATGTACAATCAGGTATGAGACTCATATATGTAGCATAGGTGTTCCATCAGGTAAGAGAAACCTATATGTAATATAGATGTACCATCAGGAACGAGACACCTATATGTAATATAGATGTACCATCAGGTATGAGACACACATATGTAGCATAGGTGTTCCATCAGGTAAGAGAAACCTATATGTAATATAGATGTACCATCAGGAATGAGACACCTATATGTAATATAGATGTACCATCAGGTATGAGACACACATATGTAGCATAGGTGTTCCATCAGGTAAGAGAAACATATATGAAGTATAGATGTACCATCAGGAATGAGACACCTATATGTAGCATAGATGTACCATCAGGAATGAGACACCTATATGTAATATAGATGTACCATCAGGAATGAGACACCTATATGTAGCATAGGTGTACCATCAGGAATGAGACACCTATATGTAATATAGATGTACCATCAGGTATGAGACACACATATGTAGCATAGGTGTTCCATCAGGTAAGAGAAACATATATGAAGTATAGATGTACCATCAGGAATGAGACACCTATATGTAGCATAGATGTACCATCAGGAATGAGACACCTATATGTAATATAGATGTACCATCAGGAATGAGACACCTATATGTAGCATAGATGTACCATCAGGAATGAGACACCTATATGTAATATAGATGTACCATCAGGTATGAGACACACATATGTAGCATAGGTGTTCCATCAGGTAAGAGAAACATATATGAAGTATAGATGTACCATCAGGAACGAGACAGCTATATGTAGCATAGATGTACCATCAGGAATGAGACACCTATATGTAATATAGATGTACCATCAGGTATGAGACACACATATGTAGCATAGGTGTTCCATCAGGTAAGAGAAACATATATGAAGTATAGATGTACCATCAGGAATGAGACACCTATATGTAGCATAGATGTACCATCAGGAATGAGACACCTATATGTAATATAGATGTACCATCAGGAATGAGACACCTATATGTAGCATAGATGTACCATCAGGAATGAGACACCTATATGTAATATAGATGTACCATCAGGAATGAGACACCTATATGTAATATAGATGTACCATCAGGAATGAGACACCTATATGTAATATAGATGTGCCGTCAGCAGGCCTGTCAATTTGGGAACACCTAACAAGGTAAAAGGAACAAAAAACAATTGCACTAAAAAACAAAAAATGTTAACAAAAACAGTAATATAAAATATATATAAATTATTTTCGCATTAAATTGTTTGTTTTTTTTAAATTAATTTATTAACATTGAAACATTTATACAATTTTTACATAATATGCAGAACTTATTGGTTATAGATTTTACTATTTCTTTGTGTCCAAATTTCAAACTTGTGTTTAAACACTAAATGATTTCTATAGCATTTGTTCTCAAAATCTCCTTCATTGTTATAAAATAAAATTTCTTGTTCAGAAAACATTAAATTGTTGTCAATCAGTCAACATTACATAAAGGACCGTGTTTTTTACAGTATGTTTTCAATAATTGGTTGAAGAGAAAAACATTGCTGAATTCAGTCCATATCGATACCAATCCTTTTATTGCATTTCACCAAATTTTGGACACCTCAAAATTTTCGCGCTTGCTACGCTCGCGTTATTTAGACTATAATATTACCAATACCTATCAAAATGGTAAAAGAACTCAATAATATTGTATTTGTAAATTAATTTGCTTTCATTTGACATTGTTTGATACACAAATCAAAAATTTTGTCCTTCTATAAAGCTGGCATAGGGGTTATATCTGTCTAGTCAGTTTTTAGCATACCGCCTTCAGCAATCGGTAAATCATGATTTTGGCTTCGGGCCAAGTTATAAACATTGCAAAAGTCAGTGTACGGAGCCAGATGCAATATTGGACGAAAACATAAAATCAATGCTGACTGTATCCTTTTAATTCAATGTACCAAAAAGCCAAATTACTCCTCTTTGCAATGGAATATCATTCATTAACAGGGGGTCATCTCTGGCCGAATAATCATTAATTTTGCAAAGTGGGGCAAAATTCAGCTCGGACCCAAGTTTTAAACATCACAAAAGTCAGTACAAGGGGTATAGGGGCTATTGGAAGAAGTTGTGACAGGTATGGTATAGACAGTAAAGTGTTCATACTCATACTCTTGCAAGAATACATCCTATAACCCTCCAAATTGCCACCACTTCCTTGCATATAAAGATGCGCTCATCTGTCCATGTCAAGCATGGTTCAGCCCTGAATCATGTGTGGGTTAAAGCAGAGAAAAGCAGCCCATGGGCAAATCTCTCTCGAGGTTTTGCAATATCTTGTAGAGGAATTGTGAGCACAGATGCTCTTGAGATAGCTCCAAAAGAAAAAGTCACAACAATTCAAGTCAGGGGAACTTCCATTGGCACTTAGCCCTTGCACTGATTTTTTCAATATCTAAAACTTGGCGCAGAGCCGATTTTGACCCACTGTGCAAATGGAAGGATTTCTCACCCAACCATTACCACATGTGAATGAATGACATATCATTGCAAAGAGGAGAGACATGGCTTTACGGTACATTAAATGAAATTGATGTAGTCATCACTAGTTTTGTGATTTTACGAGATAACTACTTGTTGTGTTTTTTTTGATACACCCTGTATATCATTTTGTTGGAAATTGAATTGTCTTTCCAATGATATGATTTAAACATTTGTCTGTAGTATTAAAAATGTTGTAGTACAACAAAAATATGGATGTTTTTTGGCCCACTCTGTAGATTGAAGAGAAAACCAATAAAATACAGCATCATTTCTGAAACATATGGAACACCGTGTAAGTTAATGCCGTCAATATGAGCTCAGGTCCTGAACCAAGTGCCTCTACCATGGGGTAGTAAAAGTGTGATTATAGAATTATATAAATTAAGTAAATTATGTAAAAATTTCAGGTGATTTCCTTTACTTAGAAAAACATACTACAGCATTTTTATCAGAACTTCTGGATCGGCCTTTGTATAATACCAGTTAAAGTGAAACCTACTTTTTCATTGGTTACAGTTCGACATAAAATAATTAAAGTCTGCATGCCCTTATCTTAAATATTATTTTAATGGCTTCCATTTTCGAAGATTGTTTTAAATCAGACGTCCTGTTCTCAATAGGCGTATTCCTATAAAATAATTGAGTTGTATTCAGAATCTAGACAGACAAACAAACAAACAAACGGTCGGATGACTTTTTTATATCTTTGGATTAACTGGAAACGACGACAGGTTGTTTTGGTCTCAAAATGTGCTCCCGTTTGTAAGGATGAATAATGAATATTATGTATCAAAACTTGAAAACTGTCTAATCATATTTTACTCCAAATAAACTTTGAATATGTGTTGACTCATTTGTCCGTAAATTACTTTTTGCGCTTAAATCGTCTCTTCTTAAAGGTTACAAGCAGATAAATATGTTACAATTCACGCGGGAAAATTTTCGGTACAATGTGCGTGAGTCAGTATTATAGTATTTTGATAGCTCTAATAATAGTAATTGTAAGATTAGAAGACAGATTAATTGTGCTGATGGGCACATGACTCTGTTCAAGAAGGAATTTTCAAAACGGTTGTTGTTACTCAAAAAGTAGTAGTAGATTGAAAACATATTAAGTTACCTTGAAGTAATCCATCAAAATGTGAAGAAATATATAAAAAGCATTTTTTAAGTAGTATTTATTGAGATCGTTTTTGCGCAATGAATACTTAATTTTTATCTTCAGGTTGGGATGTTGAGGACGGTGATCCAGCAGGATTGAAACCAGAGTTTCTCATTTCTTTAACGGCGCCGAAAAAATGTGCAAAATTATTTACAGGCAAGTATCATTACCTGGGTGGAAGATTTGTGCCTCCTGCACTCGCTCAGAAATATAACCTGATGCTGCCTAAGTATCCTGGCACAGACTGCGTCATTGAGTTGCACACACAGGGACTAGCGCCATCTAACCATGATTTAGGTCTAGCAGAGTCTGCAGCGTTGTCATCAGAAATTGAAAACGGCGAAAAAAGTTTAAGTGAGAAATGACTAGAATGTGGATCGAGATTGTAAAATGATTTTTGAACTGTAAATATTAGCTGAGCTAATACTTCCTTGTAGATCTCATTAAAGAATTTAGAATTTATTAAGGCACAGCCATTGTGTTATCAGGGCATGGCCAAACTATAATTATACAAACTACATTTATACAGTCACATTAATCTACAAAGATATTGTGTTGTGATGGTTGCGATGTTATAGATTTCTTTCTTAAAGCACATTTCAATGAAATGATTTGTATGACATAATGTATAGGAACTTGTTTTCCTCAGTCATGTTAGAAAATATACAGTAAAACCTGAGTTAGTGTACACATCTCTCTAGTGAACACCTATTAACAGTGAACGTTTTTATTCGGCAAAACCTTTTTCTCCCATTGACTCCCATGTTAAAGTGCAATCCTATAGTGAACACCTACCAACTATGAACAGTGAACACTAAACCCTGGCAAAATCAATTGAATTATCCTGTCTCTAGTGAACATTGAATCAGATATAAGATTTCTCGCCGATTTTCTGCAACTGCCTTATCAGAGTTAAGCAGTTTATGTTTATATTACCTGCCAAAAATAATTAAAAGGTCAATTTGAGATCTTGATCTCTTCTATTGAAACAGGTGTGACTAATTATAATTCTTAATAAGCTTTGTTTTTGTTACAAAGGATATGCGTCTGGGATTGATTGCTTGGAGATAATCTGGTTAACTATTATTACCTCTATCTGCTAAGTCCCAACTTGATCTTTTTTCTCATCCCGTCAATTTAATAAAACGATTGGATCAAAATTATAATTCATAATCATTTCACTATTAACTGCATCTATCATGTCCATTAACTAATTCAATAAAGTCCTTTAACTGACTCAAATGTCTCAAAAATTCCACTTTTTAAAGGACCATCTTGATGAGATAAAAAGAATTATATAGAGATAAAAATTTGACAATAAAAGGATGAGCCATTCAGATGACAGTCAGTCTAAAATAAGTCAGTTTGTATATAGCATTACAACAAATTAAATACTTAACGCTTGAGTGTCATGGGTTAATATGGGTAGAAAATACAATTTAAATTTATTATTCAAATATGAATATGTTTTAATTCTTTTTAAGACTCATTTTAGTTTGATAAAATGTGCTGTTTTAACCAACATGGAATTGTGGATATTTTTCGATTACATGCACCTTAATGTAAGAGTGCCACTGTTAAAAAAGTGTATATCTAAATAAATAAATAATAAAAAAATAATAAAAAAATATTCCCTCCTCTCTTTTAATAGCTGGTCTCTTTATATAATCAAATCATTGCTGTAGTGAACACCTACCAACAGTGAACATTTTTTCTTGGCAAAAAATTGTTCACTATACGCAGGTTTTACTGTAGTGCGCTCACTTTCGTAGATTTTGCATCTCATAATAGAGAGATTTCGCACATAAGTGAAAGAACAACTTATACGTATACGTATAGTTTAAAGGGTCATGTCGAACTATTATATTTACTAAAATCAATTTTAAATTGTACTTAATGGAACATAACTATTCCCGATACAGAAAAGCTCCATCAACCAGAGTCTGTGAATGCACTGTCATCTGCACGTGTAGATTATGCACATTATAATTAAATGCTTGCTTCCGTGTCCTAGTAGTTGTAGTGTATTCTAAACATGATCCTTTAAAGTGAGTCATGATCCTTTCAAGTGAGTCATTGCATAAACAAGTTGATTATTTCAAAGTTTTCATGATCAGTATAAGTTTAATGAACTTACAAAATTGTATATACACGTAGATGATAAACGTATACAGTTGGATCTACGTATAAAGCTTTACCTACATGTGTGTGGAACAATTGACCGCAAGCATTTTCTAAATTAATCGGCTTAGTAGGAACAGTATCCAATCAAATACTTTAACCATCAATTTGAAACACCAATCAAACCAGTAGGTTCTAGCAATTCCTGGAAACGACCCATTCAGTAGCTCAACAAATGACATACAGGGTGTTTCATAACGAGCATCTCCAAAAAGTCAATTTGAGAAGAGATGGGTCTATATGTATGTACTATATATGAGCCTATTTATTAGACTCCAGATTGAAAATCTGGAGTCTATTGCTTTTGCCTGTTTTCTTATTATTCCTCTTTTTCTTTCTTTCTTTCTTTCTTTCATTCTTCCTCCTAACACATTTTCTCTCCAACTATAACATCTTACTTAATCCAACCTACATGGTTGACTAGGGAATGTATCTGGCTTTCTGGGAAATTAGGTCAAATTTTTATCTAGGTCATAGGTCAAGAACTAGGTCAAATCTTGGATTTTCACTAATTCACCACTTTTCTCAGTCCTCTTTCAATATTTTCGCTCTGGGTTTTTTTCATCATGTTCCTTGGAAAAAACGCTAATTCCGTAAGGCAAATCGTTTTTTGATTACTCTTACCGATTTTGAGATATTGCGTCCGAAAAGTAGGTCAGAACAAAAAGTTCTCCAGATTCAACATGTGAGTTATGAAATAAGTGTAGAATGATCTCAGGAATCCGAATCTGCAAACCAAATTTGGATCAGATTTCCGTTATGGCGTTTTGAAAGCTCAAAAATCGCTAAATTTGGTGCCTATGTTAAGTCAATGGGAAAAAAGACAAGATATAGACTGAGTACAGCTTAACATAATGAATGCTTATAAAAGAAGGGGACCTCAAAAGCTACATAGCTTCAAAATTTGGACACCAAAATGCCTAGGTCAAAATCTAGGTCAAATTCATAGTTTTTCCTTATTTTTACGATTCTGACACTACACTTTAATAATTTACTTCAAAATTTTGTATACAGGTAGAAAAGAGTGTGCTAACAGTGTTAACCTTTTGCCGTCAGAAAGGATTTTGACCCACTTTTGAGATATGGTGTCCGAAAAGTTGGTCAAAATAAAAGGTTCTCCACATTTAACATATGAGCTATGAATTAAGAGCACAATTTTCCCAGGAATCCGAATCTGCAAACCAAATTTCAATCCGACTTTCGGTTTGGAAGTGATTGCGTTTTGAAAGCTCAAAAATCGCTAAATTTAGTGCCCCATGTTATGTCAATGAGAAAAAAGATTTTTTTGAAGTGTAAAATGCCAGATATAAACTGAGTACAGCTTAAAATTCTGAAAGCCTATAAAAGAAGGGGACCTCGAAGGCTATCTATCTTTAAAATTTGGACACGAAAATGCCTAGGTCAAAATCTAGGTCAAATTCATAGTTTTTCCTTATTTTTGCGATTCTGACATTACACTTTAATGATTTGCGTCGAAATTTTGTATACAGGTAGCAAAGAGTGTGCTTATAGTGTAAGCCTTCTGCCGTCAGAAAGTATTTTGACCCACTTTTGAGATATGGTGTCTGAGAAGTAGGTCAAAATAAAAAGTTCTCCAAATTTAACGTATGGGTTATAAATTAAGGGTAGAATTTTCTCAGGAATCAGAATCTTTAAACCAAATTTCGATCCAACTTCTGATTAGATAGTTATAGCGGTTTGAAGTCTCGAAAAGTCGATATGATGATATCCCCATGTTAAGCCAATGTAGTCGAAGATAACATCTTAAGAGACTAAATGTCTATATTCTAGCTGACTCAGCTTATTCTGAATGACTCAGCTTACAAGTATTTGGATGACTCAGCTTAAAAAAAGTCTGAAATCTGGAGTCTTAAATTGAACTTGTTCAATTTACATGTCTAGTTATTATTATTATGTAATTATTATTATTATTAGCTCATTAGCTCACATGGTGAGCTTTTGCAATCACTCACTTGTCCGTCTGTCTGTCCGTCAACAATAGTGGCACATTTTAAAACCTCTGTCGATAGGATTTCTGTTTTAAGTTATTTCTGTTCAACATCACTACAGAAAACCCCCCTATGACTCCTGGTTCAAAAGCTCGCCTATTTTCAAAATGGCCGTCACTTTTGTCTCGCGAAATTCACTTTTAGCCCATTTCCTAGCTAACTTCTGTCGATAGGATTCCTGTTTTAAGTTATTTCTATTCAACATCAATACAGAAAACCCCCCTATGACTCCTGGTTCAAAAGCTCGCCTATTTTCAAAATGGCCGTCACTTTTGTCTCGCGAAAATCACTTTTGGCCCATTTCCTCATTCTGATACTCATAGCATCTTTCTGTTTCACCTGAAACATGCTCTGATATTATGAGGCATATTCTGTGATCTGAGCACATCAGATGGGAAGAGTTATAACTGTCAATAAGTGTGATTGTTATCATGTAATCATCTACCTTAATGTCAATACACTACATAATAGGCATTGTATTTAACAGCAGATATTACAACAGGCACAGTTACACAAGTTTTATGACCCCAATTAGATGAAATATGAGCTGGGATGAAAGATCTCAAAAATCCTCAATTTTGGGCTCTCCTGGATCGCCAAATCAAGCTCATTATATCATGGCATCTCAGGGCTGAGAAGATTTGAGATGGCATGGTTTATCATGATGCCATTTCCTAGCTTTACAAATAATTTCAGGTGTCCTACATTGTAAAAACCCATGTCAATGTAAAGATTAGATATATGAAATAATTTTGTTACAAAAAATCAGCGAAAAATTGTATCCATTTTTTAATTTCAGCCATTTTAGTTAACATTGATTTGTCTATCTGACTCGCGAAATCCACTTTCTGTCAATAACAGTGGCACGTTTTAAAACCTCTGTCGATAGGATTCCTGTTTTAAGTTATTTCTGTTCAACATGAATTCAGAAAACTCCCCTATGACTCCTGGTTCAAAAGCTCGCCTATTTTCAAAATGGCCGCCATTTTTGTCTCGTGAAATTCACTTTTGACCCATTTCCTAGCTTTACAAATAATTTCAAGTGTCCTACATTGTAGAAATCCATTGCAAAGTAAAGAGTAGATGTATGAAATAATTTTGTTACGAAAAATCAGCGAAAAATAATATCCATTTATTTATTTTCAGCCATTTTAGTTAACATTGATTTGTCCATCTGTCTCGCGAAATCCTCTTTTGGACCATTTGCTTAAAACCTCAGTCGATAGGATTCCTGGTCAGCCCCGGCGAAAAAGCATGGAATAATTCCTGATTATTCGTGAATTATTCATCAATATTCATGTAAAATATTCATGAATAATCCACCAATGAAGAATAATTATTCATGAACTATTCATGAATATGCGTGATCATCAATTTGGACACTTCCCCAAAATTCTTCAAAACTGAATTACTGGAATATTCATGAATAAACTTTCAAGGACCCGTGAAGAATAAACAAGAACAAAAAAGAAAGAAATATCAAGGAATTTTTGAAGAATAAACATGAATTTATATTCCTTTTTATTCTTCACATTCTGATTCAGCAAAAATCATGAATTCTTCAAGCATATGCTTGAACATCAATTTGGATATTCTTCATTATTCTTCAAAATCCTTCTATGTTCATCATTTATTACTCATTTTTCATCATATGATAACTAGCACACCTGCCATGAATTATTCAAGAATAAAGATGAATAAAAATTTTAATTGTCGTGGAATTTTATAAGAATAAAGAAGGAGAAATTTTTATGAATCTTTAAGAATACACAAGAATGAGCATTCATGATTTTTGACGAATAAACAAGAATTAATATTCTTCTTTATTCTTCAAATTTCTAGTAAGCAAATTCATGAATTATTCAAGCATATGCTTGAACATCAATTTGGACATTCTTCATTATTCTTCACAATCCTTCTATGTTCATCATTTATTCCCCAAATTTTCATCATATGATAACTTGCTCACCTGCCATGAATTATTAAAGAATAAAGATGAATAGAAATCCTGATTATCAGGAATTTTTTAAGAATAAAGAAGGAGAAATCTTTATGAATCTTTAAGAATACACAAGAATAAACGTTCATGATTTTTGACGAATAAACAAGAATTAATATTCTTCTTTATTCTTCAAATTTCTAGTAAGCAAATTCATGAATTATTCAAGCATATGCTTGAACATCAATTTGGACATTCTTCATTATTCTTCACAATCCTTCTATATTCATCATTTATTCCCCAAATTTTCATCATATGATAAC